TCAATTGGAACATGTTATCTGGATATGGTATGAATGTAATGCAGAAAATGTTTAGATGTGTAATCCTTCTTTGTAAGTATTAATTTTAGAGCATTAGTTACTTTCATATTTGTGAAAGTTGTACTTGAATTTTTGTTTGATTATTGATAAATTTTGTTTTGATTTTCCCATCTTATCGAGGTAAAATCAAAAGGTGGGAGGATGTCACATTCTTGCCACTAGATGGCGGGCATCTCTTCCATTTACTTTTTGCTGTAATTAAGTTCCGAGAAGCGAGGTCGAGATTGGAACCGCTTCTGAGGAGCGTAAAGAAACTTCAGAGAATTAAAATGTACTGTCTTAAAATAATTATCACCTACCTTGTAAATAGTGTATATTAGTGTTTTTCTTTCAATAAATAATTAAAAGACAAAATGGCCTGCTAATTGTGAATAGAAACTCTTACTGGAAAACGTGATTATTAGAAGCCTGGCGTCGAGAACACTGAAGATGCAGCAGGTAAGGAATTTTACATTAATTTTATTGTAAATAGAAGAACCTGATGCAACACTTAATACATCTAGGTATAATGGTAGCTGTTCCATCAGTAACGGTAAATGAAGTCAACTGCATAGTTCTAACGAAATTTAAATATCGATATAACAAGGCAAAACCCAAATTATGCATTTCATTCAAATGCAAGCTTTGAAACGCAAGACAAACTTCATATGAAGAACAGAGTAAGCAAATGACAATAGGATAAAAAGCAACTCCTGCCTCTTTTAAGTTCAATTCATCAACTTTCGAAAGCTAGCTATGGCGAAGTTCAACCAATTTAAACCTTAGAACAGAAAACAGAAACCTTAGAACAGAAAGTGCAGCAAAAGATCCAATTTATACTAATGGAAGACTACGTCAAGGGCATGGCAATTCCTGGCATAGCTCAGTTCATTATCATACATATCGTAAATCTTATTTCCAACAGTAAAGGCTTAATGTTTACAACAATTTATTTCAGGAGTTTTTAAATTTATAAACTTAACTTTTGTGCCATATAAATAAGAATGAAAAATATCTATACAACCATAAAAGCATTTTCGGATAAGAAATCAATGCTACGTAAATACAGTGTTTATGAGGAACAAAACATTTTAAATTATAGTATTCGATTAAATTCATAAATTACACTTTTACATTATGATCAAATATAAATATGCTACACATCGTAGTAGACGGTGAGTAGTAATGCATAACAGCGAATATCTGTGGCATCTTTCACTTTGGTGAAAACTTCACTACGATAACTTGTTATTAATCGTGCACCATTAGCGCACACTCTTACACATTTTTCCAGTTTATTGCATGGTCAGTGATAAACTTATTAATTGCCTTAAACATCTCATCCTCCGTGGTATCATTTGTAAGCGGCTCACAGAATAAAAATTCTTCATTTATGACTTGTTCACTTTCAAATCTAGGATAAGGATCTCTCCGCGTGCCTTCGTGTTGTAATTGAAGCATATTCGACGCATAATGGAGAGGTCCAGGGTTCGACTCATGGCGAGGGCATTGCACATTTTTCACGTCTCCTGCTTCTGCAAGCAGCGCCCGAACTAAAAAAATGTGGTGGAGGATAATTCGTCACCAACAGGATGTGGCTACTGGGTCCCCTAATCTCCAGTCACCTTTTACGAGGAGGGAGTATATAAGGTATTTTCTTCCTTCTTTCCCCATACTGTCGTGATGTAATTGAAAGTATGCTCGCCGCGTGTTCGAAAGGTTCAGGGTTCGAGTAGAAGCGAGGGCATTGCACATTTTTCAAGGTCTCCTGTTTCAAAATAACCTAATGAACCACCAGTATAAGCCATCAGATGTGCAAAGCTGTACACGTCTGTGCTTTCATCGAACTGAACCGAAAAGTATTTGCTTTTAACTTCACATTTTTTATTAGTGTTTGCTTTATTTGAGCTACAGTTTGAGTTTTTTCCACGAAATAGTTTCAATTAATAAAGAAACAACATGAAACTTGGCTGCAGCAGTAGGGTCAAGAAAATAAGTCACAATATCTTTAGCATTATGAAATATTAACGATTCTTCAATTGTCATGATAGTCTAGCTGCATGTAATATTAATGATTCTCCAACTGTATATTAACGATTTTTCCCCTGTGTGGTTTTGCATTTAGGGCAGTTCTCAAACTAACCAAATGTGATGCCTCCAACTGTACACTCACTGATTATGGTGAAGGAATGGAGTGAACGTATGTTAGTTTTAATTTTAGTTAATTTTTATTTTAAATGTTCATTTTCTTACATTCAGTGTGTTAACACTGAACCGTAAGAAAATGAACTTTTAAGAGCCTTAACTAACATATAATCAATATTATCGCGGCTATAGATTCTAGTTTGTGGAAGGGGTACTAAAAGTGGAAAACAGTATATATCACAATCCATAAAAGATCCATAATATAAAGATCCATAAAAGGGAGCCATTTTACACTCATTTTTAACGCTAATTTAAATAATTTGTGTAAAAATTGTACCATCAAAAGTAATGTTATGTATTATTTAATGATACATGTACAGCAGCTTGATAAATCCTTGTGTATATTTTACTGTGAATCCATAGCACTTCGAAGAATATACTAATACCATTTATGCTTCTCTTAATTAAAGAAAATGATGCAATAAAATGTCTACTTAAAAAATCTGAAGGCAGGAGGGTAATAAACTTAATCTTTTAATTCATATCCAAATAATTTTATTGTTTATTTTATTGGCCCTATACTGTTTCAAACGTAATTTGAAAAAGGGTACTCTATTCGAGAAGTTCACTCTAGGAGATGATTAATCGGAATCACCCAGTTGGCTACCTAGCATTAAAAATGAAAGCATTATCAAGTGTACAACGCTTTTAAATTACTTATAAGTAGTGCTAACAAAGTTTTCTTTTCTTAAATATCATATCTTAAAATTATGCTTCGTTGTATATTAGTCTAAAGTTAGCAAACACAATCTATTTTTTTAAATGAATTTCTGACTTGCCATACCAATTTGGCGCCGCTCCTAGTTATTCACTGAGGCAAGTGAGGCAAGAGCCTCAACCTTGTCGCGGCTCTGACGACTAGTAACCAAGAGTAGGGCTGGATTACACATTAAGCATATTCTCCCCCCCCCTCCGCCTTTCTAGCGTGCCTTCGCCTTCGTGATGTAGTGGTTCTGCACGCTGGCCCGGTATTCCAGAGGTCCGTGGTTCAATTCCCGGCGAAGGCGGTTGCTAATTTTTCATCTTGCCTGCTTCCAAAGTACCTAATGTCTCTACAGTGGCGCCCGGTGTTGGATGAGGATTCTCTATACAAAGAGTTGGCGATCCGGTTCCCTAAAAACCCCAATCGCCCTTTAAAAGGGCGAGTATGTAAGGCATTTTCCCCGCCTTTCTAGCGTGCCTTCGTGGTGTAGTGGTTCTGTACGCTGGGACGGTATTCCAGAGGTCCGTGTTTCGATTCCCGGCGAAGGCGGTTGATAATTTTTCATCTCTTCTGCTTCCAAAAATTACCTAATGTCCCTACAAACAAAATAAACATGTGCTTTTAGGGCATCAAAGAATGGGGTCACTACAAAACGGTGCTCAGAGACTCAAGAAGAAGAGGCAGCATAAATATTTTACATTGGCGGGTTTACTATGGAATGTATGGTGCAGCTAAACCAAGACCCAGAAAGAAAGAATGGGAGAAAATGGACTTAAATATATATGAAGGAACCGAAATCTTTTAAGTGCTTAGTTCCTCTAAAAGTCTTAACCCCACTCTGACTAGATTAAAACACTGAACAAAATTCCCTTAATGTTCTATAGCTGGCAACTAAATGCAGTTTTCTTTACGCACAAGAATATAAGTTAGTTCTCTTAGTAAAAGTTCTTTCTATGAAAGGCTCTTGAATGCTTTACTGTAGTAAATACTCTAATCTTCCTGAAAAGCTGGACTTCCAAAGTATACATTCTTAGCATGGTGTACTGCAGTCAATTATCTCATTGCAAAGTATTTCATAAAAATAAACATTGTTGTCACGTATTCATTTCAGCAGATTGAATTTTCCTCTGACTTCAGTCTAATGCGGCATATGGAAAAATTACAGATGAATTTTTAAACGAAGTGCGGTGGGTATATCATTAAAGGTCTGTCTGATACCTCCTTCCAATATTAAATTGAAAAGGCAAAGACAGTGAAAATATAATACGTACTTTTTTACACAAATGAAAGGAACATGATGTACCATTTGTCATCTTCAATCTAGAGTTATCGTAGTAATTGCCACGCTTGAGGACTCCGTTTGCGAGGTTATTCAACAACAGTTGTCATGCATATCCAAAGTTTTCCTACAGTTCTTTTCGAAGTACATTATTTTACCACTGAGCGACATTTTGTTTCTAGTACCCTCAAAAGCAACCTATCAGTCCGGAGTTCCTATCTCTGAAAAATTCACAAAACTGTGATACTCAGTTGTTGATATCCAGAAGTAATTTACAGAAATATCACTGAAAATGATAAGGACAGTTTCTCGAACTTTATACTTAGTTTTCATAAGCATATATACAATGAAGAAAAGAATTTAGATGCTATCACTTTTTTAAATAAAACGTTATGTCTTAGTTACTGTGAAAATGCAATATCCATATTATATTATAAACTCTTATCATGATCATTAGACCATAGCGATAATGAAGAGCCCTGTGCCGACATGAAAAAGATGAAATTATGCCTTTCCTAGCAGTGCAGCAAAAGCGCGTTATGTTTCTGGTTTCACTGTTATTTCCATTTCATAATTAGGAGGTTTTTTTTTTTTTTTTTTTTTTTTTTTTTTTTTTTGTTTTGTTTTACTGCTTGTATCGGTATATTTGTGCAAAGATCTGTAAATGTAGACCTTGGAAGATTCTGGTTTTCATTGCTTTTGAAATTGCAAACCAAGTGCTACAAAACGTTTCGTGAAGGGATCTGACAATAATTTTAAAGTAGAACTTTGGAATAAAAGTTGTAACAGATCTTTAATGAGATTCATACAAATACACCGGGTTAGATATGCGCATGGGGAATTTCACCAGCGTTAGTCTTTTCGTCCATGGATTGGAATGATAAGTTAAAAATCATATTCAGATACTACAATGTGGATAACTGCCAGGTGCCTGGACGAAGATATGAAAGGACGTCTGTGGTTGAGATGAACCGTCATAAGAATGTGAAGAAACAATTCCTGGGGTCCATAAATTGGGCGGGTGAGCCTCAAGGAACCTATGATGATTAAAAACATTGCAATTAAAAGATTGAATGCAGTATAATAAAATGTATTTCAGTTGCAGTCAAATAAATAATATAGTTTAACATTAAGAAGTAGCGCATTATTTTATCCACTGATTTGCTTAATTAAACTTTAACTCTCTGGTTGGTAATCTGTTTCAGTTTTGTCTATGTTCTTTTGATTTGATATATTTGATATAATATTTTAAAGCTGTTTCGTGGAATGTACTCCCTAAAAAAGGGGGGGGGAGGCTGCTGGCATTTGAAGATATTTACGTTTGAAAAAAAATTTTTTTCTCAAGGTGCACAGTAAAGGAATGAAACCGCTATAATTAATGATTAATGGGATTATTTATTCGAATAAAAAAATTAGAAAGTGGAAAAAAATTACTATTCTGTATCTGCCCTTGGCAAATCAGATAAAATGGTCCTCAGAGTGGAAGACGTGCATGTAGTTCACTCATAACATTCTTCAGTATGAAGTTTCAGAAATGCTCAAAAAGGTTCAATAGTTCGTTGACTTAATGGAATAGATGTAAATACACCATGTCAAGTGCTAAACATTTTCTCTGAAGAAAAATTTAAACGATAGGATTAGCATTTAAGAATGCATCTTTTTCAAAAATAACCTGGGATACTGTGATAACGTGTATAATTGCAAAATATAAAAATGTTGATATACTGAATAATACAATTCTCAATATGATACAGAGAACAATAAAAAAATAAAAAGTGTCTGGCTGCGATAATACTCGATGTAGTCACTTACAGAAATCTTTTGAAGTTCTTCAATAAATAAAAATTCCATGCAGTGGTTTATTCACTTCCAGATCTGTGCTTGAAAGCCACTAGCATCCTAGTGTAAGCTAATCTCATTATTAATGACCATAAGACTGTTTGAATATTATCCAACTTAGTTCTGCACAATCATAGTATACTGGAAAAATAAATCCTCTCCCTAAAATGTATTTCACCTCTTCCCAAATCCTCTCGTAACGGTTTGGGTGGATGCGTTCATACCTGCAGATAGCGCCGTCTGCTCGAAAATGGTGGAAAGCTAAGTGAATAGATCAAAAAGTTTCCAGCCTCAAATATGAAAAACTCTTTGGCAACAAATGCCTCTTGCAGACAGTAGTATAATGGCAGTACTAAATGAATAAACTTGAAAAATACTTATAGAGAAATCTTATGTATTCGTTTTGACTGTGTACTGAATGAAGGGATGTATTACATTGTTCTGTTGTTTAAAACTGAATATAATTCTTTGATTCAACTTTCAACGGAAGTAGATCTTAATCCTAAACAAACGAAGTTAAACAACGCTTGGATCATATGTATGCTGTTTCATCTGCTTTGTATTCTACAGCGAAGAAATGGGTAAAACAGTTTTGAACGAGTCGAGATTCGATAGATAGTTCTCGCGATTGAAGGCACTGACATCATAGATCTATCCATCGGAACTGTTTTGTAGATTCTACAAGAATATAATTGCATTAACAAGGTGCCCGCGAAATGGGGATCAAAAATTCCTATCAGAAATTCAAAATCCGCCACATCTCAATGCAATTTAAAAACAATCTATGTTTAAGGAACTTAACATGCCATCGTTCCAGCTCCAAGTGTTTATTATTTGTTTTTCAGACTAAAAGTTGACCTTCGTGGAAAGATATTTAATGCTGATTATGAAGAGAAAAGAATAATTATGGAGCATCGTGAAGACGAGCCCTTCAGATTACTTTGGCAGAGCATAAATTGGCTTTTTAAACGATATGAAAAGTATATCGAGGTAAAGGTACAAATAGGCCGGGGACGCTAAATTTTCACTATTGGTCAAAGAGCTGTAATCTCACCGCAGTAACTGTGCAGCTTCACCTAATTTTGATGGAGAATTTCCCGGGGGACAGATTCAAAGGTCTCTCACTTGCATAACCACAAAATCACTAGAAAGAACATTTGGCTCCCTGGTATTTTAGGTTCCCCATGTCGTGCAAACACTATACGCTTACGAGCATCCCTGCCTTCTCCGGGATTCGATCTTGAGTTCAACGATGCGATGAGTGTCACTCATCATTAAACCAATCAGAGTGGCTTATATGGAGGTACAAGGAGATCCAACTGAAAAATAAACTATTAAAACTTTATGTATTTCATTTAGAAATATATCAGGCCGGAAAGTTTTGAATCTGTCAGTGTAGCTTTGCTCATCAGATGGTGGTGTAATATAGACCCTCAAGCTCTAAGCTGTGAAATTTCGAGTGACCACTCATTGCTTATAATAACAGATATATTTATATGCTTTACAATAAAAACTTTTTAACAGCTTTATATACATTTATATCTATTTTATCTTTTAAAGCTTGAAACAGAATTTCACATTTAGTCAAAATGATTCCGTTCTCTTTAGTTCTTCTCAATAAGCATACAATTTAGATGTTGAGGGACTGTGTTTCCTGAGATATTCGTATGACATCATGACTGACATCCTCTTCTCTAAAAACGACCAATTAATTGAATACAAAGATTAATTATGAACTCATACATTTTGCAACATTCCAAGGTTTTTCAATAAAGAATTAGATTTTTTCCCCTTTTTCTGCTGAAATCTGTCATACTGATTAGAATTATAGCATGCATTTAATTTAAAATTAGATTTTTTATGTAATCTAGAAATATATTTTTGAATAGCCCTATTGTACAGTTCTGGAAATTTTAAGTCTGAATAACTTCTGCAAACGCTTAAAAAAAATAAAGATTGCGAGTACACGATTAAAAGAAAAAGTGTTATTTTTTTATCGAAATGGCAACATTAGAATGATATTCGAAAAAGTATTATTACAAAATGTAGCTAGTTGAATGTTTAAGATGAAGTAGCTATGTTTTAATGTTTTTAAAAGTTTAAATAATATTGTTTAAAAAATGAATTTGCTTAACATGAATACTCTAGTTTTTATTTGAAAAATTCTTATTTGTTGAATTAATAATAAAGTTAGGTGAGGAAGGTATTTCAGCATAGAATATAAAATAGAGGAGGACAGTTTACTGTCGCAATCGTCGCAAGATTGGTGAGTTTTAAAAGCTCAAAATTGTTTTGAATGTTTATTCCACATCTTTATATTAGAATATAGTATAAATTATGTTTAATGTTATACATCAGGAATTAGAACGGAGCATGTTCATGATTATTAGCTCATAGGGTGTTAGCCCAGAAGGGCTATTAATTTCGTTTTGGCATTTTGCGTTGAAAACTTTAAATGTCGGTTCACTTTTCAAATTGTTACCACCAAATATTATCGTCCTGTGTTCTATTTAAAAAAAATTAAATAGTGAAGAATATGCATAAATGTATATATGTTTCTCGTAAACAACGATTCCTAGAGCCATCAAATTTTGAATAATGTTATCTTCCACCGAATATGGGCATATGGAATTTGAAATTTGTTTTATTATAGATTTCATATTTTGTAATACTTCAACGAATTTTTGATTAACAAACTCAAATTCAACGATTTCAAAGCAAGCAATGGCAAAACTTAAAAAAAAAAAAAAAAAAAAAAAAAAAAAAAAAAAAAAAAAACACTCCAGCCCGCGAGACTGTGTATCGGAAATTCTAAAGATATACTCATTTTAAAATTATTTTGCGATATTGCTATTGAACTGAATTTTATGGTTTACGTGCGAAGAATATGATATTTAATAAATAAAGTTAGCGCACAAAACGTTAAAGAAACGCTCGTTTGGGCGTAATGTAACATCTGAAAGCTTTCAGACATTTTATTTTCATTTTAGGTTGTTAGAATACGTCAAATGTTAATGAAGAGGATTTAGTATTATATACCAGTGTTGATTCTTATACTTCGAAACAAACTTTTTAAGCTCGTTTTAATAAATGATACAACTATACCGAGCGATTATAAGTATATAATTGTTAAGCATAAATTACGTTTGAAAAAAAAATGTAAGAGATACTATATTAGAGCCTGTGTATTAAATTAAGTGAATTTCAACGAATGGTTATATCCGCGACACATGATTTGAAATGTAGAATTGTTCTAGCAGGAACTGTGTTTAAAGAATTTTTTAAATTGTACATCCGTGCCAAAGATATGACCGAAAAATATCTTAAACAGTCTTAAAGTCTACATGTACTCCAAAAAACTGATTTTCTAATATTAATTCGCAGACCATATTTATCTAAACGCTGGAAAACTGTTTTCAGCATTTAGTTAAGATGTAAACGATGTTCTTTCTCGTAAGAAGAAGCAATCAACAGATCATCCAAATATGGAAACACAAAGTCTAGGCTATAAAGAACTTCACCGATGAATATCTGAAAGGCTGCGGGGGCATTTCTGAGGCCAAAACTCATTACATTGAATTGGTAAAGACCAAAAGGTGTGATGATAGCAGTTTATTCTTTATCTTCGTCTGCGACCGGAATGTAAAAATGCGTCTTAAAAAGGTCAGTTTTAGAAAATACAGTTTTATGAGTTAAATTATGTTGAAACTCTTGAATTCGAGGAATGGGATAACGATCAGGTAGAGTTAAATCATTCAGTCTTCTATAATTTGTGTAGGGGGACTTGCCTATTCTGAACTAGAACGGCTAATATTATTGTCTAGCATGTATTTGAATTCTCTTTTAGCTATTTCCAATCGTTTAGGGTCTAATTGTCAATTGTCTTGCTTTACAACTTAACTTGTTGTCCTTTTACTTACAATATGATGTTTCACATTACGTTTTACAGTAGAAATAAGAAATTTGGTTTTGTTATCCTGGGATACATAGCAAATAAATCAGAATATTTACATAAGCTGCTTGTTGTGTTTACACTTTCATTAATAGAGATGGGTGCAGTGTCACCATAAACTGCAAGGTTCGTCACACCAGCAATTAATCTTTTATGCTTTATATCAATCAATAAATTGAACTTATTAAAAAATCTGCACCTAATACGGGTTTACTAATTTTTGCGACAACAAATGAGAATTGAAATATACTCGGCGCAAATCAAGATCAAGAATTAAAACTTCTGTACCAAAAATATCGAATTTCGGTATTATTTGCAGCATATAATTTATAGTCACTAATAAGTTTGTGTATAGAAGTACGAGGAATAAGGCTTATGTCTGCTCTACTGTTAACCAGAAAACGTAAATCATGCATTAGGCTCGCATGCAACAATCTGAGTTTGAGACTAATGCGGTCATGTGTATAATTTCTTTGTATTCTCATAAAAATGTCTGCATTTCTTTGAGCACTCACTAGGTTCTTATTTTTTCTTTTTGTATATATAACATGTTTCAGATTAGCAGCATCGTTCCTTAAAGCAATGGATGTGCTTCTCCAGGTGAGACATGTATAGTTCTGTTAATTTTTAAATGCAAAAATATTTGCAGAATTTTAAAACAAATAAAGATCACGAGTTTTCGAATAAAAGTAGAGTTATACTTTGCCAAAATAGTAACATTAGCATGATATTAGAAAAGACCTTAGTATAAAATGTAACTACTTGTATTTGAATATTTAAGATGGGGTAAATAATATTATTATTCTTTTGAAAGTTTATATAAAAATTGTTAACGGATTTTTTAAATGTTTAATCATGATAAAAACAATGGCTTATGATGGAAACATATTAACAATAATAGCAATAATAGATTTGTTTATTTTGAAGAACTTAATTTTTTTATCTAAAAAATTGCTAATTATTGTACTAATAATGGTGTGAGAGAAGAACCATGTTTCAGAGTGTACAATACGCACAATTGATCCCCTAGATAGTATGGCCATTTTTTAACAGCATAGAAATAACAGAGGTCACAGTGCATTTATCACTATGTCTTCAGCAAAAATGGATACTACTCGCAGTGAACAATACGCAGCATAATATTCCGCATTCGCTCGGATAAAACAGAAGGAAAATATTCTTCATTTGGAAAGATGGTTTTGATTATCAGCGTTTAGTGTTAGAAGAGCTCTAGAGCAGTATTATCTGCCAGTTTTTATGGTTCTTCCTTAAGGACTTCATTAAGGCAATGCATGAGAACACCCACCCGGCAAACGTTGAGTCATACTGTCTTCTCTGTAGATAACATCTAATTTATTCTTCATTCACGTTATAAGTTAGATTCGAATACTTGTTTGCATCATTGAGCTCATGCGTTTTGTTTGCATCATTGAGGTCATACCTAGAAGCAAGATCTTCCCTTATTCTTTGGTCTTCGTGAAACTCGCAAATTCTCTGTGAAACTGTTATACATCCCGGAGAAAAACTGGCTTACAGTATGTGTGTGAGGAATGGAAGAAACATCTATGGAAATGCTTTGAAATTAATGGTGATTATTTTGGAAAAGGTTATCGTAACAAAGATCTAGGATACAAATTATTTCTGGGAAAAAATCTTTTTCTGGAAAAAAATATGAGCAACCTACATGTTCTTCAAACTCAGGCTACATTATAGCAGATGACTTACATGAAGATATGAACTGTGCTCGAGTTCGGGCCTTGAAATTTTATAACCTCATAATGTACTATTAGAAAAAATTGAGCTCCTTCACGAATTATCGGAAAGTCCTAAATGAGCTTTCAGTAACAGCACAAGGAACAGAAGATACTCACCAACTCCTTGTCCTTTAAGTATGTCGAACAAATTCTGTGTGTTTCCGTCCAAAATTTGATAGTCTGTAAGGAAAGATCTTCCCGAATTCCCGGAGGCTACGGCTCTCATCATCGTCAAGATCAAAGGCTGAGGTAGATAAGGAATAGTGGGTAATGCCAGTGACTGGTGTGTGACTGTTTGTGTCTCGTTCAAGACGCAGTCAATGTCATTTTGACGACACTTTTTGCGGCACACCACTGTACCATCGCTGTTCAATTCCTGGCTGCGAGACAAGAAGTTATTGTAAAATCCATAATAATGAAAGTAATAGCCACTAGCCTCATGTGGCTACAAAAAACTCGAAATATAGCTACTGGCATATTTAAAAAAATTTAATTATTATTTACAGGTGACGCTATCAAACTTCTCGACAGCATTCATCCAAAAATTATCAGAAATACTCAAGCATGGGAACAAGCAACAAAGTGTGGCATTTTGCAAGCGCCTGAAAACACCAAAACAGTACGAATAAATTGCGCGCGCGGCTGCAGACTCTTATATTAACAAATATAATACATCTGTGAATTTGATACGTTCGATTGTTAACAGAGATCACTTACCACGTTCACTTAAAATTCCACATGCCATATCACATACGCCCATGTCATGGTACTATCCTGGGAAGATTGCAAGCAAAGATGATGCATGCAACAAGAGTATATCATTACAGCACTAGATTCACAGATGAAAACGTTATAGTGCATATTATACTCAGTAAAGTGTTATAAATTAAAAGTAGAAAAAGGAAAAAGCATTCGAGGTAGGGAACGAAATATGGTGGATTTAAAACTAGGATAGCTAATTATTTAGCTCCTTTCTTTGGAACTGGATGAACGAATTCAAACAGTACTCGTATACTGTTTGAATTCGTTCCCTTTGTCGAACTCGCTCCCATTACTTTACCTGTGTCAAAGGCATGACAGTTTACCGCAATGTGTTCGGTATTACTTTATATATTTTTGGATAACTGCTGCAAAGATATTTTGTCGCTGCAATAGCTTAAGCGCTCCTCCAAAGAGATTGTTAATGTATGTTGAACCATGTCGTTTGGGGTACTCCTGCATTACTTCCGTCATAAATACTTGTAACACAATGTGAAAATGATAAGCAGTTTGGCTAATCGTACAAAATATTTATTAATTAACAAAGTTGCTTTTAAGCAAGCGAGTATACCCTTACTCTTGTATCTCAGTACTCAAGCAATAGTTTTAACTCGCAGATATATTACATTTTTCCCATCTCTGGCTATAAATACTGCGGATGCGCATACTACCTTATATATTTTGTCCTACAGTTTATGAACGATTGCAAAATATCACAGTGTTATTTTGTTTACAAACTTCACCATCACTGAAAGAATAAGGTTCACTTTATGCGCCCAGTACTGACGGTGCAAAATGTGATCTTCAAAAAGTATTTTCAGTTGAAACAGGCAAGAATAGTGAGCAGAATCTGATACTGGACCTTTCATTTGAGCATGCTATCGGGTCCAGTAGCTTCTCTTGTTAGTTCAATTTATTTATTATTTAACATAAAGATTTAGAAATTTACTAATGAATAATTTCAGCAATAAATAAAGCAGTAAAAAGTATTTTCTTTTACGCTGATTGTTATTTTTTACAATTCATGTCAGTCAGGGGTGTTGCAGTACTTTAGTTTATTTTAAGCTTATTATTTCCTGCAAGCCAGTGGTAAATTTTGAAGCATAACCTAAAGTGTAATGTTTCCAAAATTATGAACGTGAATTGTTACATTCGGGCAGAAATGCAGGAGAAAAATGTCCGCGCTTCAGTTTCTACCTGACGGAGCTCAAGCGGTACTGTTAATGCGTAGAACTGCAGTACGTGGGCTATCGAAATCGCCAAAATGCCTGCACATGCATTATGCACTCGTGTAGTTATTTGCGTTTTCATTCTCCAGTGGTCACTGTGTGGTAGATGTTTACAGCAGCATTGATTGTTGGCCCTTTCTATATCTGAGAAAAGTCGGTCTTGAACACTCGTCGTTTGTTCTGCCAATAGTTATCCATTGATATGAATCTCTTTTAAAAAATATTTAAAACTTGATCCAATACAGCAGCAGTATTTGCGTCTGGATATCGCTATTGTATAACATTAAGGAAATGTTTTGCAATCATTTTTGAAAAAAATAAAAGAATATTCATCCGCAGTTTTCCTGTGACATGGCCAACACCTTCACCAAACCTGAAATCGGGATTGGGAAAAGGGTCTTGGAAATGTCTCAAGAAAACTCTGTTTAATTTATACGTTGCAAATTTAATGGAAGAAGAAGCTAGAAACACGTATCATATGTACAACATCTGTATAAAAAAACAAAGTTCTGCTGTGAGCACGTTGTTTTGCAGTTTCAGCTTGTATGAGAAAGCGAAGAACAGCATGCTGAGTCCTTTATCACTCGTACATCTTTATTACTTTTGTATTAACCGCTAGTTTTTGAGTCACTTTTTTATTCTTTATGAATAAAATTTAATTACTTCAAAGCGTTGATGCAAAATTTCAAGTCATTCTGAGCGGGGATTCTTGTTACTTCCTTGTAGAAAGTAACACACACACACAAAAAAAAAAAAAAAAAAAAAAAAGTATTGTAATCACGCAAAATTCCGGCCCTCATATTTCAAAGAAAATATCCATTTTGACTGCTATCGAATGCAATTTAACGATGTTTTTGTGTGACATCTGTACGTAAGGACAGATTAAAGGACTCTTTTTCCCTAAACGAATTGTAAAACTGATTTAAAATGGATTCAGAAGAGATTTTTTTCGTGGCTAATGTATGTATCTCGCAAAGCTTAAAAACGAGTACGTTGAAATTTTGTATATAGGACTGCTATAAAATGTAGTTTTGCACACTTCCCTTTTTGGAATATATATACATATATATATATATATGCACATATAATATTTGGATGTCCAAAATATTATATAAGTATATATATATATATATTGTTACGAATTTTGTATTTAGTTAGCTATTTTTGGTAGAATTGTAATTAAAATTGTTTTATTTCCCCGTGTAATGCAGCGCGTGACGACTTTTAAGAGAAAGCTACGCCTAAAAAGTAAAAATACGGGAGCACGTGCAATTAAAATAGATATCTAGTAATTTATATTTTAACCGAAATAATGCAATTGTGTGTTATCTGTAACTGTAATCCTACTCTCTTGCTTTTCAGAAACCTCCAGAAATTACGAGAAGCTTCTCGTGACTGATTAAAAAGCTTTTAAAAGCTAGAGAAAAACATCTCAGTTCAGTTGTTTACTTATTTGTTGTCTTTCTCTGCGTTTTGAATTGTGTTTTATTTAACGTTTTAGTAGTTTAAAATATAACTACTGTGTGATATTGTGATATTGTACGTATATCTATGAGGACAAATTTCAGCATTTTGTGTTATTCCTTGTGATACGAATAAATTTTATTATCTTTTCATCAGACTTGCGCATTCAATCCATTACGAAACCATACGCACGTTACGAATTTCGTATTTAATTAGATATTTTTAGTAGAGTTATAATTAAAATTATTTTATTTCCCCGTGCAATGCAACACGAGACTATTTTAAGAGAAAGCTACGCCAGAAAAGTAAAAATACAAGAGCACGTACATTTAACATTGGATAAAAGTTTATCTCGCTAATTTATAAATTTAATTTGAATAAATGTAATTGACTACTATGTTAGCTCTAACCGTAATTCTACACTTTTTGCTTTCTAGAAATTGCTAGAACCATCTCGCCCAGCCAATTTAAAAAGCTATAAAATGCCGGAGAGAGAACATCGCAGTTCAGTTGTTTAGTTACCTGCTGTTATTATTATTGATTGGATTAGCTTTCTCTGCGCTGTAGATTCCGTTCTATTTAACATTTTAGTAGTTTAAAGTATAGTTACTGATTATATTGCGTGATATTGTGATATTGTACGAATATCTCTGAGGAAACATCTAGCGTTCTGTTATATTTTCTTTTGATCAGAATAAATTTTATTAACCTTTTATTGGACTTGGGCATTCTATCTATTACGAACTCGTACGTACACCAATATATATATATATATTTGAAAAGTCAACTAATTTCCTATCAATGACAATGATTACATGTTTAATTTTTCCTTTTACAATTGAAATTTTAATCTTCATGATGATTTAACTCCAGTCCCCGTTAAAACATTATTAACATTTTGCTTTCAAATTACTTCAAAACATCTTTCAAAATATAACTTACCAGTATGGATTCACACTTTTAAAATAATTCTACTTTAATTAAACTTAGGAGATAATATAATCAATTAATCAATACTGTTTAGGAAATAAATTATTATTAACTAACTTTGCAGCAATTGCGCAAGTAGTAATAACTTGTATTCGCACTAAATGGATTTAAGATCATACAACATTATATATATATATATAATATTTGAATATCCAAAATGTTATATATTTATGTACCTACTCTATTACTCGACACAGCTTTTCTTACTCTTTTTTGTTGGCAAATTGTGCATTTTTTGCTTTAAAAAATGATTGAATTACGTTGTTCTTATCTTCCGGTTAAGGCTTTCATGTCTTTAGTTAATCTGCATGCAATAGTTGTAGAATTATCAAAGATTTAAAAGTTGTTAAGGTGCGGCTAAGCTTAATTTTGTTTTATTATAGCAGACATATTTGTTTACATTTGAAACTTGAAATAATGAATGAATAATAAATTTTAAATGAAGATATTTTGTGTTATGTATTTTTGCCTTGCCACGAAGTGAGAACTGAATTAATTGGATGAGAAATATATCTGTAATGAATTTCTAGGAAGTAAGTTTAAACAAAATGTAAGAAAAAATGAGTATAATTTAATATTCTGTACAAGGAAGTCATGTGGTGTCCGCATCAGATATTTTTAGATTAATTTTGAAATGAGCTCTTTGTAATTATACTAAATAGCACTTATCACAGATGCTTCAAAACTAGTGGCATTTTATACCATCGACAAGTTAAAAGTTATAATGCTAGTTGACTACCTTGTCTTTGCTGTAACGCCTGCTGGAATACTGGGGCTGACAACACCCCAAATTAAAACTGTATTGACTGAAATTAGCATTTCTAGAACCACCATAACCTGTCTTGGATATATGTCTAAGCAATCAGAAGCTCATTCACGTGTCTTGGTTGTTCATTTTAGTAAGCGTTTGCAGTAGGTATCATAAAATAGAATATCAA